ATCTATTAGGGTTATTATGAAATGTAATCAATTAATACACATAAAGATCTTAGCATGGTGTTCGTGCAAAGCATTTGCTATTAGGTGTGCATTCATCAATCCTGCATCTAAAAGGTAGATGCTATTATCTTCATTAATAGATGGAAAAACAGAGTTTTACTGAAGTTAAGTATTATACTCCGAAGAACATAGCCAGTAAAATGTCAAGCTAAGATTCAAACACAGAAAGACCTGGTTACCAAGTTTTTGCTTTTAATAACATCAAGTACAATTATTGCCAGCTGAAGCCTCTAAACCAGTTTTTGTTTTAACATTTTTTTTTAATTGATTTTAGAGAGGGAGGAAGGGAGAGGGAGGAAGAGATAGAAACGTCAATGAGAAACCTTGATTGGCTGCCTCCAACACCCCCTCCCCCCTCAACTGGAGATGGATCTAGCAACCTGGGCATGTGCCCTGTATGGGAATCAAACTGGTGGATTCCTGGTTCACGGGTCCACACTCAAGCAGTTGGACTAAACCAGGGGGCAGATGCTCAATGCAGGACCGCACCCTGGTGGTCAGTGTGCTCCCACAGGGGGAGTGCCGCTCAGCCAGAAACCGGGCTCACGGCTGGCGAGGGCAGCAGCAGTGGTGGCAGGAGCCTCTCCTACCTCTGCAGCAGCACTAAGGAGCAGCGAGCCGAGTGGTAAGGAGCAGCAAGCAGGAGGGCAATAAGGAGCAAGGGGTCCTGGACTGCAAGGGGGTGCAGGCTGGGCTGAGGGACCCCTCCCCACTGCCCAGTGCACAAATTTCATGCACCGGGCCTCTATTTTTTTGATAATCTCACTGACTCCGAACATCATACTGATTTCCAAAGGTGTATTAGTGTATGTATGTGACCAAATGAATCACTACATTCCTTTCCAAGAAGATATTTTAATAGATCTCTCCCCTCTCACCCTGCATACATGATCATCATCTCTGTATTGGATAGTGGAATGAAACATTAAATTTTCCCCTTTGGTCAGCAGAGAGCATATAGGATCATGACTCAGCAGACCCAATATATACTACTAAATGTAGCATGCTCTAGTTGAATTGCTAGCAAGTCACCCCACATTTTTGACCTTCACTTTCTAATCTGAAAAATAGGCAAGTGATCAAAGGCAGTGATTAGGAGAGAACCAGGAAAAATCCTTGCCTCGTTTACATCACTGGATTGCCGTAATGTGTGAATGTGATCGTTTTTAAAAGCACTTTTGAAAAAAACCTGAAAACAATACAACTGATAAAATATTTTAAATTATTGTCCTTGATTTAATAAAAATATACTGAGATAACCCCTGATTATATCAATATTATGGAATAGAAATGTTTGCAACAATAACTGTGAACTAATGTAATGACTTATTAAGAAATGTGTTTATAAGCTATACAATGGTACTTTTAGTTTGTTCATTTCTTTCTATTTTGAATAGCTCTTTGGGGAACTCCAAGCTATTAGCAAAAATGGACTGCCCAAAGACAGACATAAATGAAGCTTATTATTTTTGTTATTGCCACAAGGGACTTACCATTTCTAGGAGGTTCATGAGTAGTTGACTGTGCCTTCTGACAATATTATAAGCTCGACAGCAAAGCTCCACAAAATCTTGGAAATGCTGTGGGTTTTTCCCACCCTCTGTAATAAAGTATTCCATCTCTGAAGTAAAAATAAAAGGGGCTCGGTCCCTATAAACCAAAAACAATAGCAACCTTAAGCAGGAGAAGTGGTTTGTAGGATTAAATTAGGCAGTTACAACAATTTATTTCCATTCCTTTTTTGTAGTTATTTTCTTTCTGTTCTAATGGTTGAACCTTATTCATTGTGGGACAACTGGAGAAACTAATTGTAGACTTTGGATAATATAGCAGGCCTGCAACAGAGAGGGAAGGACAAGTTATTTTACAATGTCAACCTATATTGTCTCAAATGTTTAATTCCAAGTTATATGCGATGGGAATACTATCCATTAAAATTAATGTGAGGACAAATTAATAATGAAGGTGATTTTACAGAAAATAAATTTACTACTAAATTTTGAAATGATCAGAAAGATCATGTTTTTTGTTTGTTTGTTTGTTTGTTTTTTCTTTGAAAATATGCTGGCCCTTTAGGAAAGAGTTTCAGGTAAAAGCTGAAATATGTAAGGACAAGTTCTTTCAGAAGGCAGCCTATGAAAAAAGCAGATATTATTAATTCACTATCATATGCTTAATAAGGAAAAAAAGACGTAGCCATATTTCATTTCACACTAGGCCCAATAAAATTACTTATCAGAAAGGAGGAAATATAAGCTGACCATGTTGGTGTATAAGCAATATCGCCCCCTACAGTCCCATGGTTGGAAAAAAAGTAAGCCAAGGGCCAGAGAGATGGTTCCCTTAATGTTTTGTCTTTTTTTTTTTTTTCATGTTATTCGAGACACAAAGATACTTGAGACGAAGGGTTAGCACTTCTAATAGAAACTATCAAAGAAAAGATTGGAAACCTCTCTGTGATTAAGCCTCACTCACTGAATAAGAAAAATACAAAAAAATTTTTATGCTGATTTGGCCTAACTAAGGGTTATTGAATGGAATTTTTGAAATAATTTTAAGAGTCTTAAAATTACAACTTCCTGAATTACTTTTTGCTTTTCTCTTCAATAGAGAAAAATGTTTCACCAAATTGATTTTTCTTGGAAAGTTCTTGTAGTTATGTTCAAATTTGTGTGATAACACATTTCCTTCTTTCATGGCAACCAACATTATAAATCAGGTGAAGAAACACCATAGTGCAAGTCAAATACAAAAGAAATACCCAAGTTAAAGAAATGTAAACTAATAATGAAGAACATAATTTTAGCGGTGTTTAAATATCATAGTCTAAATTTTCAGTGTACTCAACAATATAAATCTTGCATCATTCCTATATGATTTACATGGCTACCTTCTTTTTTTAAAAAAAATAGTTTTATTGATTTCAGAGAGGAAGAGAGAAATAGAAACATCAATGATGAGAAAGAATCATCCATCAGCTGCCTCCTGCATACCCCCCACTGGGAATTGAGCCTGCAACTCGGGCATGTGCCCTGACCAGGAATCAAATCCTGGTTCATAGGTTAATGCTCAACCATGCTACATGGCTAACTTCTGAGCAATTTTTAAAATAACAAAATTAGACTAAAGTTTTTCTATAAATGGAAAGAAGCCTCACAGGTGAAATAAAACCCTACCCAATTTCTACACACGGTTGGAGTCATAGCTGGGAATTGGTTTATCAGTCTATTCAAATGTGAACCTAATCCCAGATTGCAGAATCCATGTACTAGAGTCCATATCTCAAGTATAAGCAATACTTATGAATCTGAGAAATAAATTGGTTGTTGCAAGGAGGAAGATTGGAAACTATTTGATCTCTTACAGTCTATACAATTACTGAATTCTGAATCATATGTAGAAAATATCTCATTTATAGTTGTGCGAATACACCAAAAACTTTTTGTTGTGACTATACTACATTTGTTCAGATTACTGTTTTAACCATTATTTGCCCAAGACCCACCTGTTCCTGCTTCTATAGCTTTGACCTTCTAACTCTTTTGTTTCCTATTTCTAGGAAACACCCAATAACTTAGATAATTGATCAAAAATTTTTTCTTATAAGAAGTCTTCTGTAATTAACCTACCTCTGCTGATTTCTCTTTTACTTTACCTTACCTTTTTACCTAGCCCTATAGCTAATATATTCTATTCTTTATAATCTCTAGTAGTCTTATAAATTTTTTCCTCACAAATGATCTGTGTGATTTTCAAGAGTAGAAGAAATATTTTACCTTCATTTTTTGTGTTCTTAATGTCTCAAACAACATTTTGTTGATATTCTGTTATATGAAATGAATGAAACAGTAAATAAACAGTTTACACAGTGAAGAGTTTGTGATAATTTAACATTTATGTGGGAAGGGCATGTGAGTAAACTTATTTGTTATGGTTTTGCCATTCTGTTGTCAAAGTTAATCTTTTTATTAACATGATCAGTCTTTTGTTCAAATCACTATTCTGTAAAATTGCCGAGAGTATTTTATATATTTCCAATATTGGTGAGAAATGAGTAGTAGTTTCAAAATATACATGTTTTGGGGAAATTTAAGAATATTTCTATTACAAATACTACTTATTAAGGAGGTAAATAAATTGATATGGGAAATATCAGGACAATTAATAATTTGTTGTTTGTTATTACTTATGCATAAACTTCCATTTTAACTATACTGTAGATATTATCCCTTTATATAAAGTCACAAGAATACCAAGATCATTATCATTAAGAATTTACATTTGTTAAAGATAAGAAAAAAATTACATGCCCTAACTGGCTTGGCTCAGTGGATAGAGCATCAGCCTGCAGACTGAAGGGCCCTGGGTTCAATTCCGGTCAAGGGCACATGCCGGGGTTGCGGGCTTGATTCCCAGTAGGGGGGCTTGCAGGAGGCAGCCAATCAATGATTCTCTTTCATCATTGATGTTTCTATCTCTCTTTTCCTCTCCCTTCCTTTCTAAAGTCAATAAAAAATATATTTAAAAAAATTAAAAGAGAGTAAGCAATTATGCCTGCCTTTTCACACATAACTGAGTATATTGCCCATGGATGAGAAAATGGCTCTGCTACTTTAACACTTTGTCTTAGGCTTTGAATGCTTCTCACAGTACAATCATCTTACAACCTATTTGATTGTAGTTGTTAACGATTTGAATTTACTATATATCATGGCCATAAATTCAGGAACTATGTCATCTGGACCTAACTAATGAAGCAGCTATTTTGTGCCAATGCTGGAGAGTAAACAGGATGTGTTGGGATTATTGAGAATTGGGAATATCAGTCTTCTACATGACATCTTCCCAAGGGTCATACGAACTACTGTCCAATAGTCTGGACAAGTTATAACAACTAAGTTAGTTCTTGATTTGTGAATTAGAGAAAATAACAGTAGTTACTTCAGAGTTCCTCTGAGGATTAATGAAACTAATGCATTTCAAGTAATTATGATGATTTAAGTGGTAATTTTGACTATTTCCTTTAGAATATGGTTCCCTACCCTGGATGATACAGCACCATACTAAGGAGAACTTTCTTTTACCTCTCCCAGTGATAATCCACAGCAATTTGAGAACTACATATTTCAATATTGGTGATATGGAGAGTGGCATAGAAAGGCAGACAACTCTATTAAGGACTCGTGACAGTAGAATCAGTCTTCTGGGCTCTGTGAACATACTTATCTCTTCCTCTTGTAAGACAGTTCATCTAGCATTTATTTGAGTAACTAAAAAGTCTGTAAGTGGATGTACACAAATTTTAGTCCCAGGTTTGAAAGATTTGAGTATTTGAATATGTTTTCATACCTGGAACCAAAATGGGGTACATTTCAGTAATGAGGTACATTTTATTACTGAAATTACTATTTATTTCATAAAATTCATATATTATTGTCCCCTGGAAATATCATAGTAATATTATACTATCTTGTTTTAAAATTTCTAAAACTTGCAGACTCTCATCATAGTGGTTGGTGAAATTAGAGTACAAGTAAATGACTAGAGAGTACTTTGAGAAATGTTTAAGTATACACTTTTCCTGATGTCACAAATGACCTACATTTCAGAGAGCACATTTCGCTGTCCAACACAAGTCTCCTTTTTAATATCCATGAGTTAATTGAGAAGGCAATTTGGAATCTCCATTGGATAGGATAGAGACTTTTATAATTATAAAACACAGGAAGCCTCATAGGTGCAATATAATGAGAACATAAGGGTTTATGTACTATTACAGAAACAACTTGTGACACTGTGAGATCTCCAAGCTTTTGGCAATTATTAACTGAAGAAATCCTTACAAATAATATCTTATACCTAAAACATGTTTTTCTCCCAAAGTCTAGCCTCTTTTATAAATGCACTGTGAGTCCTAAGTTAGACTCTGGGAGGTCACTCATCTTTAACTGCTGAGTAACTTTAGATCATGATGTGAGTTTCTTGTAGCCTCATACACCATCTCCCTTAGTTAAAATGGGAATTAAAACAGCTACCTCTTCAAAATTATTAGTCCTACTTTCCTAAGTCAGATATTTTGGGTGTGAGTTTATACTAGATCAGGATTTTATGAGGACAGGAAGAGACTGGCCAGCTCCTCCAAATTCCCATGATTTCCCCCATGAGCTTGAATTCAAGAGAAAATATACAGTTATGCTTTCAATGGAATTTCAGCAATTGTTTGGAATAGAAGTTAACATGGATATGAAGAAAAAGTTATCAAAACTATAATGCTTGGGTAAAATTGGATAATGGTATCACATTTTAGGTTCTAGGATGAAGGTAAAATCAAAAATAGTTCCAGGTTACCTCTGAGACATTTAAATCACCCCCAAAATTTACCATGTGCACGATCAAAATTTATGTATCAGACTTGAAATGAACATTTTATCTTTTACAAGTTTAACACCAGTTTTTCCCCTGGCATAGGATCAGGTACTCTTTCTTCAGTTGAACACCAGATGAAGTTCTTACCACTATACTAGACTCTTGCTCAGAAGACATTTGCAGTCTTTCTTTAATCACTAGATTCAGACTCAGGGCTATGAAATGCTAATACTGACAGGCACATTGTATCTTAGACCAACTCAGGAGTCAGCACTTGAGCCTTC